GGCTGACTTGGGACTGGATCATGTGGTCTTCAGCCAGAGATGGAGGGAGTATCAGGGAAGGCATTTATGATTGAGGCTTTTACCAGGAAAGCCCAAGTTTTATTCATTCATTCACCTGAGAAGTATTTACTTGGCACCTGCCACATGCCAGGGAGCCCAACCATGAGCCAAGGTCCCTGCCCTCCTGGAACAGAAAGTAGGTGGAGATGTCAGGAAACAGTAAAAGTATACAGTGACAGGTGGAGTAATTGCTATTAAAATAATAAATAAAGGAGGTTAAGAGGGATTGAGAGTGTGGAGACAAAGAGGGTGTCAAGTGGTTAGGACAAACGATTTGATGAAGTGATATCTGAGCAGATCCCAGAAGGACATGAGGAGGTAAGACATGCAGGAAATGGATGCTTCTTATATAAATGCTAAAGTTTTCCTCTTTCCATTTCTTTTCTTTCCAAAGTCGGTATGAAGAGATGAAGATTGTCGAGAACTGTACAAACATCACAAGGTCATTTTGTGACCTAACAGATGTATGGGAAGTCTTTCACGAAACCTATATCCCCAAAGTAGTAGGATTCAGAGGGAACACAACACTGACCAGTTGTACGGACTATTTTCTCCTCCCCATGGACAGTGAGTTGATCTGTTTCTCACCTTCATCATCACATCAAGATCATCATTATTCACTCTGCCATGAGATAGGAAGGTCTGCAAAGGGCTGAGCTTGACCTCCTGGCCACATACCACTACCTACATCTGTAACCATCAATTGGGCTTCTCCGAGTCTGTTTTCTTTTCTGAAAGTGGAAGCTGAATCTGTTCTTTGCAGATTGTTGCTCAGTGTTGTAAGGGAGGTGTTCAGACAGGAGCAGCTGCCGTTGTGCTGCCTGCTGTATAGCCCGATGGGGAGTAGGGAGTAGAGCTCATGGGGCCCGTGTCTAAGTCAGACCTCCTTGAGCCAGTGTTCCTTTGGTACGGCAACCCTCCCCTCAGATCATACCCAGCGATATGTACATGTGAACACCCGCGTGTGCATACACCGAGGCCCAAAGCCCATGAGCAGACCTCCTCCTTCTTTCTTTTTTCTTTTTAATTTGTTGGAGGGCATGTGCACTCACCAGAGAGAAATGAAGAGGGAGAAGCACTCTGCTGGGACATGTCACATTGTCACTCTCTCTTCTCCGCCCTCTCTCCCTCCCTCCCGCAAACACACCCAGGGTGTGTTCAGCTGCAGCGTTGGCCATGAGATCCAGCTGCCTTAATGCCAGGCCATGGGGCTGACCCATCTTTCTTCTTTTTTCTGCCCATGACAGGGGTCAGCTTCCTCAGGGATCTGTGTCGACAGGTCCAGCTCTTTACTTTTCCAGTTTCCCAATTTACAACCTGTTTCTAAGGAAACAATTCTGTTTTATCACTTACATAGTTGGTGTGGGTGTACATGCACATTTAGGTGCTTAGCAAGGTGATAATGACTGAACCCCACTACAGGAAAACAATTTAGATGGGAGATTTGCTGGAATTAAGTGTGTGTGTGCGTGTGTGTGTGTGTATTAAGACATATCTGTGTTTGTGCACATAAAGAAAGGGAAGCTGAATTCATAGGCCATGGTATTTGGGTTATTAACAAATGTATATTAAAGTAATAATATATTTTTCATGACTCATGGTAACTATGAAAAATACATAAATATCCAGGTTTAAAGGAAATACACTTTTTAGTTTTTGCTATAGAGCACATGTACTCACCAGAGAGAGACAGAGGTGGGGGCGTGGGGGGGGTGAGAATCAACACCTAGTGGCTATAGCCATCCCATAGTCTCCTCTCAGGATTTTGGGTATGCACACACAGGTGCCTGGCATGATTTTCAGACTACTTGGCCTAGGACTCAAACCACACAGCCAGCTTTGTAGAATCCAGTTCCTTAACCTCTGCACCCCTGCTGAGCCCGAAGCACACTCCTTCTAAAGGTATTAGATAGTATGTATTTAAAACCCTAGTGGGGCTGGCCCCATAGCACAGCAGTTAAGCGCTGCAGAGAAGTTGGATCCCACAAAGCCAACCAGGACCCAAGTCCCAGGCCTGGCAGCATGTGCTCAGGATCCTGACAGGGTAGATAACTGAGAGGAAGAATTACAGTGAGATAGGCCCTGTTTGGGGGCTGCTCTCTCTCTGTCTCTCTCATGCATACAAACCTAAAACAGTGAATCTGTGAAATCATAGTATAGCCATTTAGTGAAACAGAATTAATTGGAAAACTGAGGATGGAAATTTGGGGCTGACAGACGTTTCAGAAAAGACCAGAGAGAAACACGTTAGACCTCTTGGGCCAGACATAGTCTCTGGCACATAGTCTTCCTTTTTTTTCTTATGACTCTTTAAAAAATAAAACTATTCTGAGTTTCTAGAGTGTGCAGAAGTCCTCAGCCCATGGGCTATCATTTGCCAGCCCTTAATGTAGAAAAATATCTATTAATATTTTATGATTTTATGAAACTTAATTAGATAAAATATATACCATGCAAAACAGAGGAGGTTACAATCAATTAATTTGAGTTTGTATATATGTCTGTAAATATAGACACATAAACATATAATGTATACTAGTTTTACATATTTATGTGTATATTTATGTATATACACACAACATAGACAAAAGTTTATTAACCACACTCAGAGACAGTTACTCATCTGTATTATCTGATATTTCTACAATGATTATGTATTATTAACATAATATAAAGAAAGGTCTTTTTTGTCCTGTCTATCAGAGGGCACATATGCTTACCAGAAAGAGAGAGGGAAAGTGAGAAAGCATCTCCATGGAGGATGGTCATGCCACAATCCCTTCTCCACCATTTCTCCCTCCTGTCAGGATTTTGGGCACACACACACGTGCACCTGGCATGGTTTTCAGGCTGCCAGGTCCGAGACTCATCCAGCTCACCTGGCCATGTGAGATCCAGCTGCCTTAACATCCATGCCACCAGCTGGCCTGAGAAGTCTTTTTTATCCCTATCATAGGGCATGCGTGCTTGCCAGAGAGGAGAGAGACAGACAGATTCAGAGAGTGGATAAGTGAGAAGTCATCCCCCAGGAGGGACGGTCACACTACAGTACCTTCTCCTCCTTTTACCTTGGGATTTGGGGCATGCACACACTCGTGGCCAGTGTAACTGAGAAGTCTTTTTTTCTTTTTCTTTTCTTTTCTTTCTTTCTTTTTTTTTTTTTTTTTGTGAGAGGTTTTTACTATAGGGCATGTGCACTCACCAGAAAGAAACAGAGAGAGAGACAGAACGCGAGAAATCACCCCCCAGGGGGATGGCCACACCACAATCCCTTCTCCTCCAATTCTCCTCTCAGGATCTTGGGCACACATGCACACACACCCAGAGTGAGTTTAAGCTACTGGGTCCAGGACTCGAACCATGGTCGACTACATGGGAGTCCAGTGACATAGTCATTATGCCAACTGCTGGTCTCAGAAGCCATTTTTAATGTTGTTTTTAAGATACAAAGGGCCAGCCCCATAGTGCAGTGGTAAAGTGCTATGCAGAGAAAGCCAGATCCTACATGGCCAACTGCTGTTTGAGCCTCAGCCCTACTGGCTTGAAAAACACTCCAGGCTCATGTACACACACGCCTAACATCCTGATGGGCTGGAGAAGTGGAGTGAAAGGAGCTGCAGCGTGGCCACGCCCACTGAGGATGCTTCCTCTCCTCTCTCTCTCTCTCTCTCTCTGATGAGTGCACATATTCTCCAGTAATAAATAAAAAGAACACTTTTAAAAATACAGCCTAAAAACTGAAAAAGTTACTGACCTCCATCTCAGCGTCTGTCCTTGATTTTTTTGTGTTAAATAAATCACGTCTCTTTTGGGACCAGCAGGTGGTGTGGTGGTTAAGGGGCTGGACTCCCACATGGCTGACCATGGTGGACCTGGTGACTTGCTTTCTGACTTTCTCCCTCTCTCTCTCTGGTCAAATTAAAAAATAATAATAATAAGCAAAATAATTATAAGTTTAAAAATAATAAATCACTTCACTCTCATTAGTCTCAATTTTTTGCCAATAAAAGTTTTTAAAAACCTGTTAAAACTAGAATCATAGGCAGATTAAAAATAAAATAGCTTTTTTTAAAAACGAAGTAAGTTTGGGGAACAGCATATGGCATAATGGTTACGTTGCTGGACTCCCATGCAATCTACCACGGTTTGAGTCCTGGACCCAGCAGCTTAAAAAACTCACACTGGGCACTTGTCCATGTGTGCCCAAAATCCCGAGAGGAGAATGGAGGAGAAGGGATTGAGACATAGCCATCCCTTCTGTGTGTGTGTGTGGGGGGGTGATTTCTTGCTTTCGTTCTGTCTTTCTCTGTCTTTCTGGAGAGTGCACACACCATATAGTAAAAATAGCTCTAAAAAAAAAGAAGAAGAGGAAGAAGTAAGGTTGTATATGATGTTGGAAGCATTATTATGCAATCATTGACTAATATTCAGATTTGTTCCTAACTTTGTTTTTTGAACAGTGTCTTTTGAACCACCAGAGTTTGGGATTGTTGGCTTCACAGACCATATTAACGTGTTAGTGAAATTTCCACCTGCCTATCCTAATATAATAGACCAATTGTTGTATGGATCATCACTTGTCATTGAAGAACAGTCAGAGGGGATAATTAAGAAGGTAAGTGATCTCTGGTGTTAGGATCAGAACAGTTCTGAGTTGGCAGTGAATACACTTGATACTCCCTCTTTTAGAAAAAGAAACTTATAGGTAAACAATTGAAATGAAAGTTCTGAGCACCAGTGCAGAATGTTGCAAAGAAGTCTTTTTATTCATTTATTGTGAAAATATGTTGCATTCACTCTGCAGTGCAGTCTTATTTAAAACAGTAAACAGGGGCTGGACAGTGGTGCAATACCAAAGAGTAGTGCTCTGTAGTGTAGAGGCAGACTCACGGGGGAGGGCTGCCAGTCTGGATCCAGGGGCCACCCTGAATCCCCAAGGCGTATGTGTGCCCACAGTCTGTGCTGGCTGGGATAGATCATGGTGTCAAGACCCTATTGGGGGAGCGGGGGGGACCAGCGGTTAGCGTAATGGCTATGTTGCTGGACTCCCATGTAGTCGACCGCGGTTCGCGTCCCAGACCGGGTGGCTTAAACTCATGCCGGGCACGTGTGCTTGCATGCCTAAGATCCCAAGGGGAGAATGGAGGAGAAGGGATTGCAGTGTAGCCATTCCCCCAGGGGGATGATTTCTCGCTTTCTGTCTCTCTGGCAAGCGCACGCGCCCTATAGCAAAAACCTCTCAAAAAAAAAAAAAAAAAGGCCCTGTTGGGAATACTGTCTCTGTTCCTGTCTCTCTCCCCCTCTTTCTCACTCACAGAATAAATTAATAATTTTTTAAAAATTAAACAAATAAGCCACATGCACAACATGAAGGGATACACAGGAGAGAGAGAGGTGTGATGTGCATGGGGAGAGCAGCCAGATTTTAATATGTGCATGTGCATATGTGCCCCAAATCCAGACAGGATAGAAAAAGGGATAAGGCAGGATTGTAGCATGACCACACCCCATTGGGGAATGCTTTCTCCTTCTCCCTCTATCTCTATCTCTCTCTGGTGAGCATGCATGCCCTCTGGCAATTAAAAAAAAACGGGGAAAAGGGTACGATTATGGGGGCTCAGAGGTTGTGTCAAATTTCATTATCTCATTTCAGTCATGTGTTATTTATGTTCGGCCTATGAGCTACTATGTTTTAGATTACTGTTTCTAAAATAAGAGATCTATGCTTTTAGGTTATTGACTATAAATGGAAAACTATAGTTACTATTCATCTTCATTAAAGCAAATTAGTCTTTAAATTAAATTTTTTAAAAAACGAGGCCATAGGTATATCCAGACAACTAATGGTGGCCTGGACTACCTGGCAGATAGGGTCGTGAGAAGCCGTCACTTCCTGCATACGTTCTGCAAGGGAAAGCAGTGGTTGTTTTCAGGTAGACTGGGTGTGCTGCATGGCAGAGAAGGAGGAAAGTTAGGACTCCATCACTGTGGAGTTGCCATGAACTAAAACAGCAAAGGTCATGGACAAAGCAGGTAGAAGTTGGATATCCATAGCTCAGTTTTGGACATGCTGACTCAGAGGTCCCTGTAAGGCATCTGGAAGGAGATGTTGGGCAGGAGTTGGGTGTGCTGAGTCTGGAGTACAGGGGAGAAGGACTCACAGGTTGAGAGATGTCCTGGCAAGATGTGGTCTCTTGTCGTATACCCTGAGAACAGGAGAGCTCACCTGAAAGTGGGCATGCAGGGATGTGAAGATGCCCAAAGATGGCACCCTGGAATATTCTAAAATGTGGAGGTCTAGCAAATGAAGAAGACACAGTGAAAGAGACTGAGAAGGAGCAACCACAATGATAGGAAGAAAAATCAGGATGAAATGAGGTCCTGATTCCTAAGAGAAGAGAATTCCAGCAAGAGAGAGTGATCTACTTAGTCAAATGCAAATGAGACCATTTAGAAGAGGGTATGAACTACTTTCGGATTTGGCACCAGAGCAGTCATTGTGCCCTTGATAAGAGCATTTTGGTGAAGTCACGGGGCAAAAGCCTAGTTGAAGTTGATTCAAGAAAGGGAAGTCCCCAGGATCCTAGGAAGCTGGAGGACTGGAACAGGGGAGTCACAGAATGCCAAGACATTGTCAAAGGCCTCTCTCTCTTTCTCTTCCTCTCCCCTTCTGTCTCCCTCTGTTTCCCATGTGTGTGCTCGGGCACTCATAGGCTATCATTTTTTTTTTATTAAGAAAGAAATAAGAGAAGAGGAGGAAAATTTGGAGATCGAGGAGAGCTCATTCTTCCAAGTTTTTCTATAAAGGAAAGGAGGGATATGCAGTGGCTGCTAGAGGGCAAAGTGCATCACTCGAGGAGCTTTTTTAGTGGGAGAAATTACAGCCTGTTCATAATCAGAATGTTCGGGGTGGGGGGTGTTGGGGCAACACCCTAGAGTAGATAAGCCTGAGAAGGGGCTGGCGTTGGCTGGGAACAGGGACTCGGTATCTCTATTCACGGGCGAGAAGCAGAGGATGTGGCACCAATGCCTAAAAGGAGGGTCACGCGTGGTGGGAGCTTCCGTTTGCTTGGTGAAACGGGAAGTGAGGACTGCGACTTCCCCTCTATCGCACGGTGGCAGCCCATGTGTGAGCCAGATGTCTGACCTCAGTCACGTTCTACTCTTCCCCCCGAGTGGAAGAGCCCTCCCTCGGTGACCGTGTCTGCTCCTATCCCCTTTTCTTCTTCATTATTGATTAGCCATGTATGAGCTTTTTATTTATTGGGTATCATGTTTGTTTAATAATGCCTTCTAAACAAAAACTTGTGGATGAACATTATTATAGAAGGCTGTATTAGAACCGCTAGAAATGTTGATTTATAAAACTACTAGGAAGAATGTATTTTGAAAACTCTAAAACATAATGCAAAAGTTGTTACTCATTCATGAAAGAACCTTCATACCATCTTTTCAAATCTGAGATGGAACAGAACCACAGAGAAAGAGGAGGCAAGGTGTTTAAAGAGAGAACACAGGACAGTAGACATCACCTCAGGTCTGTTACAGTTAAGTCCTGTGACCTCGGAGAAGTGACTTAGCACTTTGACCTATAGTATCCCCATCCGTAGAATGGAGACAGTGCCTGCTCTGCAGACTCTCGAAAATCCAATAAGTTAATATGTACGAATGCCTTTTCTGAAATGGAATAGCCATACCTTGTCGGCAAGGTAACATAATCTTGGGGAAATGACAGCACAGAGACCTTTACTCTTCTTTGGGACTTTTTTTTTTTTTTTCTCATTTGTACAGAAGTTGCTAGACCAGATTTTGTGGCTTTAATGTACAGATGTAGCCATGGTAGCACACGGGTAGTACCACCACGTGGGAGGCTGAAGGCCACACGGGAGATCTGAGTCTGATCAGTGTGAACATGTGAACAATGTGAACATCAAGGCATGCTCGCTAGCTAACTGGGAAGCTGGGGCAGGAGGACCTCCACATAGCAAGGTCCTGTCAACAGTGCCTATCTCTCATTCCTCCTTTCTCCCCTTCCTCCCTCTCTGACCCTCATAAGGGAGAAAAATCTGTTTATGTCTATAAGTCACATATCTGTAGTTTTGCAATAAATTGGTCGCCTTAAGCAATCTATACATCCTTTTCCTTGCCAAGCCTATGATATTCCCAATCTTGTTTAAGATTTGAAGACAAGTTCCCAAAGAGATGTTTAGGACTTGCCTCTAAATAAAATTCTCACTCATTTTACTCATTTTTTTGCTTATCTTTACAGCATAAATCCAAAGTACATGGAAACGTCAATGGAAATTTCACTTACGTCATTGACAATTTAATTCCATACACAAACTACTGTGTATCCGTTTATTTTGAGCCTAACTCTCAGGAAAGAGTAAGGAAGTCTCCCTTCAAATGCATCCTTCCCTATCCTGGCCAGGAATCAGGTATGTTCATATTTGAAAATTCATGCCTTTACTCTGAAGGGTAGTTTTTCCCCACATTTTATTGATTCACAAAATACCTTAAACTAAAAATATGGACAAAGCTATAATCTAGTGACAGGTGCACTGTAATTTTCTTCTGAAACATTTTTTTTAATTAATTAATTTATGGGACCAGCAGATGGAGTAATGGTTATGTCACTGGACTTCCATGTAGTTGACCGTGGTTTAAGTCCTGGAACCAGTGGCTTAAACTCACACCAGGCTCATGTGCGTGCGTGCGCAAGATCCCGAGAGGAGAATGGAGGAGAAGGGATTGTGGCGTGGTCATCCCCCCTGGGGGTGATTTCTTGCTGTCTTTCTCTCTGTCTCTCTCTGTCTTTCTGGTGAGCGCATGTACCCAATAGCAAAAACCTCTCCAAAAAATTAATCAATTAATTAATTAATTTACATTCATTCCCTAAGCATCCACAGCATACAAAATGTGATTTCCCATCCAGAATATATTCATAGTGGCTTAATCATACATGTTATCGTCCTTAATTTTCCATTTCTAGTTTCATATATATATATACATGTATATGTATTTTTTACCCCTATTTCTCACCCTCTGCCATTTCCCACCCTCCTTGCACACTATCTTAGGTGTCTACAGTCATTTTCCATTCCTTTTTCCCCCCACATTTTATTGATTCACAAAAATCCTTAAGTGATCTAACTGCTTTCAATAGCAAGTTCAGCTGGCATGTACATATCAGTGAATGCATGTCTGACTGTAGGTGTGAAACTCTGAGCAGAATGAACATACTGTAAGATAACACCTAGCTAATGCTATATAGCTTCCTATGGTCATAAAATGGTATTTTAAAATATTATTTTAATTTTAAGAAAAGCAGTTTTAGCTTTAATAAATCAAAGAAATACTAAGGAACTTTACTTAAAACTGAAACCCAGGAAACAGGTAGGATTCTGTTCAAATAGTAGGTACATGAACCTACCGGCAGCTCGAACCAGGACAAAATCCCTTAAAACTAGAAAACAAAGCCTAGAAGAAAATCAGCAATGTTTTAGTTAAAATATTTCACCAGTTCAGTCTCATGTACTTAGTTTATCTTCTGTTGTGGTTCCATCTACCCAATTCAATTCTGGGATGTAATATTCAACTCCAGACCTGTCCGTAAGATTAAGTTGGCCATTTTCTTAGTTTTTGAACTCTTCAGTTCTGTGTATCTGTATTTAATTTTCCTGGTATAGCACTCCCTTGAGAACTTCTTGGAGATCTGGTCCAAGATCTGGTGTTGGTAAATTCTTTCAGATTTTGTGTATTTGAGAATGCTTTTGTCTTTTCTTCCCATGTGAAGGGTAATCTTGCCGGGTACAGTATTCTTGGTTGAAATTGCTTTTTCTTTAACACTTTGAATATATTTTCCCATTCTTTCCTTTCTTGCATTGTTTCTGATGAGAGGTCTGCTGTTAGCCTGATGGGATATCCTTGTAGGTAGCTTGACTGATGTTATTCTCTTGCCAATCTTAGCATCTTGTCTTTGTGGTTTTGGTTAATCTGGCTATAATGTGTCTTGGAGAAGATCTTCTTGGATTGATTCTATTTGGGGTCCTGTATATTTCTTGGGACTGGATCTTTGAGTGCCTCTCTAGGTTTGGAAAGTTTTCTAGCAGGATTTCATGGACTTGATTATCAATGCCCTTATGAGTCTCTTCACATTCTGGGATACCAATTATCTGGATGTTTGGATGTTTGATGGTATCTAGTATTTCTCATATATTATTCTTATTTTGGGGGCAATTTTTTCAGTCTTCATGGTGGATTTTTCTAGGCCAGCGATTCTATCTTCTATGTCTGAGATTCAATTTTCTGTATGATCTAGTCTGCTTTTAATACTTTCAAGGGAAGTTTTGACTTCTTGTATTATAGCCTTCATCTCTAACAGGTCCATTTGATGCTTTTCTACAGTGTGTCTTTTCTCCATTATATCTTGCAAGAATTTCCTCACCTCCTGGAACTCATCGTTGCCTTTCTCCTGCCTCTTCTGCAGTTCATTGTCTCTCTTCTCTTCTATCTCTGTTAGCTTTGTCATTATGAGTATTCTAAATTCTTTATGAGACATTTCCATGAGTTTCACTGTACTATCTGAGGATGAAGAGGACTTATTCTTTTCCCTTAGAAAAGAGGAATTTTCTTGCTTTCCCATATTTCTTGTGGCCCTGCAGTGATTTCTAGGCATCTGATGGATGATGCATTTCTAATTCTTGAAGTTCAATCTGAACATTCAGAAGGAGGTGATCTGCAATCTCTCATCCATTCTATTTTTGCTCTTTGTGCATCAGATTCAGTGGGAATAGAGGAATATTCTGACCCTAATAGTATTCAAATGTTTGGAAGCTGTTCACTTGGATCTGTCTAGACACTTAAAGCATAGAGGCACTAGAAATGAATCTGGAGTATGAAATCTCAGCAGAAAATCTTCATTTTTGGCCAAGGAGATCAAATTTCACAGCTGAAGTTCAGTATCCATCTCAGGATCTCTGAAGGGTATTTAAAGACTCTGGAATTCATGGAGCTCCAAAGGTATGTCCTCTCAAAAAAGTACATCACGGTGATGTTTTCTGTTAGTCTCTGCTATCTGATAGTCATTTGTATGTTGTCATACCACAGGGACAAGTAGACATCTACATTTGTAAGGTCGGAAATCATCTTCAAATGGATCAAATTCAGTGCTGTGTGCCTTTAACAGTGTTCAAGCCAAATGCTGGGGAACACAGAGTTGCTTAAAGCCACTGCATCCAGAGGCAACAAAAGGGAAGGAGCCGGGAGTCTGGATGTGGCTCACAGGAGTAGCAGCTGTAGCTCACGGATGAAAGGAAAACTGCCAGTGTGGATGAGGTAGTCACTAATGCAGGCTCAAGGCTTTTCTGGTTGCAATGACGTCAGTGTGATCTCAAGCCTTCTTCCCTGTGAAGAAATGCCCAGCGAGAACAATCAAGCTCATAAACCTTTCCTTCTGATTATTTTCTCAGGAAGTAACTAAATGCCCAACTGTTTTGCTAAAAGCAAAAATCTCCCTCAAAGAAGCCCTTTGAAATTTCCCAACCTCAGTAAAAGTTTCTTTGATGTTCTGATTTACCAGAGTATAATAAGGAAGGATTTGGAAGGAAATGACAGTGATGTGGTTATTTGTGAACTACATGAACAACACTCAATGCCTGGCGTATATTGGATCGTCAGGAAAGTCATGATGCATTTTTGCATAGGAAAACAGAAAAATATGTCATGACTTTTCCAGCGACCTAATAAGTATGCTCAGTCTTAATTACAACTATAGGGTAGTGTGATTTTTATTCCCTAGTGTTCTTTCTTTTTTTTTTTTTGAGAGGTTTTTGCTATAGGGCGTGTGCGCTCGCCGGAGAGACGGAGAGACAGGAAGTGAGAAATCACCCCCCAGAGGGGATGATCATGCCACAATCCCTTCTCCATTCTCCTCTCAGGATCTTGGGCACGCACGCACACGTGCCCGGCGTGAGTTTAAGCCACCAGGTCCAGGACTCGAACTGCGGTCGACTACATGGGAGTTCAGCGACACAGTCATTACGCTAACTGCTGGTCCCTATTCCCTAGTGTTCTTCAAAGCTGAATGCTGCATAGACTGACTTTAAGGGGAATGATACAGATGTAGGCTGATTTACTGCACTTCTCAGATACTGGTTTTTGTTTGTTTGCTTGTTTGTTTGTTTTACAAATTTAAGGTTTGTGGCATCCCTGCATCAAGCTAACCTGTCAGTGTCATTTTTCCAACAGCATGTGTCACTTTGTGTCTGTGTGTCACATTTTGATAATTCTCGCAATATTTCACAATGTTTTATTATTATTTTACCTGTTATGGTGATCTGTGATCAGTCATCTTTGATGTTAACTGTTGAAATTGTTTTGGTGTACCCCAACTTGCACCCACATAAGATGGTGAACTAAGCATCCTTGCTGTGCGTGCTCTGACTGCACCTCAGCTGGTCATTCCTCATCTCTCCTCAGGCCACTCTATTCTCTAAGACACCGTATTGAAAAGGCCAGTTAATAACCCGACATTGGCCTCTAAGTGTTCCAGTGAAAGGAAGGGTTGCTTGTCTCTCACTTTAAATCAAAAGCTAGACAGAATTAAGCTTAATGAGGAAGGCTAGTCCAAAACGATGGAGTGGTGGTTGGGGGCACTGGACTTCCACAGGGCCAACTGTGGTTTGAGTCCCAGACCTGGTGGCTTGCTTTCTCACTTTCTTTCTCTCTCTTGCTCGCTCTGTCCCTGTCTGGTCAAATTTAAATAAATAAATAAATAAATAAATAAATAAATGGGACCAGCAGATGGCGTAATGGCTATGTCGCTGGACTCTCATGTAGTCAACTGCAGTTCGAGTCCCAGACCCGGTGGCTTAAACTCATGCTAGGCGCATGTGCATGCATGCCCAAAATCCTGAGAGGAGAATGGAAGAGAAGGGATGGTGGCATGGCCATCTCCCTGGGGTGAGGGGATTCTCGCTTTCTATCTCTCTGTCTCTGTCTTACTGGCAAGTGCACACACTCTATAGCAAAAAACTCTCAAAAAAAAAAAAAGATTAAATAAATAAATAAAGTTAAATAAAATAATTCTTTAAAAAAAAGATAAACTTCTTGCACCATGTTAGCCAAGTTGTGAGTGCAGAAGAAAAGTTCTTAAATTAAATTAAAGTGCTATTCTAGTGAACACATGAATGACAAAAAAGGAAAATGGGGTCCACTCCATGGCCTAGTAATTAAGGGAGTTAGATGCCACTTGGCCAAACATGCAGCTCAAATCCCAGACCTGGAGGCTTGAAAAACATGCTGAGCACATGTGTGTGCATGCCCCAAATCCCAACAGGATGGAGAAATGGAGAAGATATTGCATGCAGTATGGCCATGCTCATTAGTGGTGCTTCCGCATTCTCCCTCTCTCTGTTTCTCTCTCTGGCAAGCACAC